ATTCACCTAGAAATTATTACTGCAGTTTCAAATAAAGTTAAAAACTCCATATTCTCAGTCTTTATAGTAAGGTAATCCAAATGATTCTTTAAATGATGTTTCTTTATTCATAGAGTAAGAGTTTGGTTTTTTCTTCTTTTTCTTTTGTACTGAGAATCAAACTCAGGTACTTGCGCTTGCCAGGCAGGCACTTATGACACTAAGCTATATCTCTGGCCCCTAGAATAAGGTCTTTAAGGAATGAATTTTCCTTAATTGTAAAATGATTTTTTTCTACTTATCATTATGAAACATTTTAGAGATCAGCAAATATTCACTAAGAGAAAGCCTGAGGATTGAGCATAGATACACTTACTTTTGGGATAGTACAGGTAATTGTAGCTCAATAGAAATCTCTGTATTCGACTATGCTCATGATGAATTCTAACTGATTTTAAAGTAACAGTTTAGTATCCTTATGTAACAACAGAATAATGGTGTAATTTTTTTTATGAAAATACTACTAACGCCTGATAAAAAATTCCATAACAAATTGTAAATGGATCTAACAAATATTATTTATTTCCTTATAGTTCAAAAGTTTCCACAAGTTGCAAAGGCAGCCTGTTTTCCAACCTTCCTTCCAGAAAGTACTGTTTTGATCCCTTGCACCATCGGCATTGTGAATAACATGATTTCAGATTCAAGCCCATTTCCTACTGCAGGCTTAATATTGAAAGCCACAACTTTAATAGAATAATTTATTTTGGAGAGGTAGGCAGCCAAGCAATCATGTTAGCTACTGCTATTTATTAATAATAAATGTAAAACACCAAGAGAAAATATACATTCTTAAGTTAATCAGACAATGTGGCTTCAGGAATTACAATACAAAATCTTTCAGCTGTTCCTTGAAAACAGTGGAGCATCAAGTTCAATATTGATTGAAAAAAAATCTGTAAACACAGGCATGGAATACACAATGAATATCTTTGTGTAGTCAGTGCCTTTTATGTGAATGTATGCACATGCATAGCAGTAGGAATTTCTATCTAGGAAAGTGTAACTCGTCGTTAAAAACTTGCTCAAGTGAGCTAAATTACCTTCAAGTACCTGCCTCACAATAATACCGTGTCATTTAATGTTACCTCTCCTGATCCATTCACTTCTATGTGGCAGGAACTTTCAGTGAAGGTCAGTGGTATATCTAAGAGATTATGACAGCTGAATTATGGTTTCAAACTAGCTTGGCTTTTACCGTACCTTGAAAAATCGTATCGCTTTTGATTTATAGTCACTTTATATTAATATACGTTTCTTTCTTGTATTTCACTTGAAGTTAGGCAGGCTAGGTTTATACATTCCACATTACTTCTTGAGGTACCCACTAAATTAAATATTTTAAACAAATTATTCTGACTAAGTTGACATTAAGTACAAACAGTGAGAGAGAATAAGTCAGAGGCTCTGAATTTTCCTAGTTATTAATAGCAATGTTAAAGGTAATGAGACCTCTGTACAACATGCTAGTCAAGGTGTATTTCTCAGTAAATGATCTTGTATCCAGAAAAAGTAAAAAGGCACAGTTTCTATGGTTATCTGTCATGAGATTTTTTCTATGCTATAAATAATTCTAAAACTACATTGTCAGATTTCTGGGTCTTTGATGATAGGAAACTTAGCCCTATATTTTATAAAAATATCAACAGTTGAAAAGCATGCATTTCCTACTGATTAAAATGAACTATTTCCATTTCTGGACAGTCTTGTGATATTCTCTGCTTCTGTAACTATTGTTGGCTTACTGGATAGAAATTTCACGTCATTCCCCATGCTCTTTAGTTTGGATAAGTTTCAAGGGCACTTAACTCAGGCTTTAGAAGGCAAGAGGACCATTAACTCATAGCTCAAAGTTTTACATTTATGGTTGACTGCAACTTTTTGAACTTACATTACACGAGACTCTGTTGAGTCTAGGCTTTTTGGGTATCTTGAGTGTTTTAGAACAGAGGGAAACCAATTTACACTGGCTTTACCTTTTTTGGGGGGGAAAGGAAATCCAGTATCTTTAATTCACTGCATTTAAAAAAAAATTGCCATGTTCCCATTCTTTACTAGTCATTTCTCCAGGAATTGGGAGTACAGTTCATACCTTTCCACTTCTCACATTTTACAAATGAATTAATATGTTAATGACTTTCTTATATTGATACTAAGGGCAATTGGTTCTCTATTACCTCCCGAACCTCCTGAGATTTTACACATAAAAATGGGATATTAGGAAAGAATAAATAGTATTATATATAGATAATGGTAGGTGAAGGGGAGAGAAGGGAAGGAGCCCATTCAAATCAATGATATTGAGGCAATTAATATGCAGTCCATTCATCATGGATGTCTTCTTATTAAGGAGGGAACAACTTTCTCACCTTTAAATTCAGTTAGTAGCTAATTACTCAGTAAAATAAATTCTTGTCTGTTGTGTTTATGTGAATTATGTGGAATGAAACACTTCATTATAGTCCAGAACATTAAGTTTAGAGAAGCTATATTGAGAAAGACAGGATTAATATTATTGAAAGAGAAGCATGGGACTCAAAAACACAAAACAAAAAAGATGATATAAAATTAAATTTGTTCATAAAAACCCATTAGTAGTAATGTTCCCCAAATCAGCTGATGATAGTTACATGCAAATCAGTAATAAGACACAACTTACAATTACTTTGAGGCATCAGAATCTTTTAATCTTAGATAAATGACTTCACCAAGAGCTCCGATCCTCATAACAGGAAGTATTTCCTCTTTATTATTAGGTTTGTGTCTTGGCTTTCAGCATCAATGGGCCGCTAGAATATTCTTGTCTCCAGCCAGTTCTTGTCTGAAGTTGAAGTCTTTGAAGGGTCCCTTCACTGCTAATTACAGCCTCTTTCTTTCAGCTCAATCTGTGCCTCCGCATAAATTTCTGTTTTCATCATCTTATTGATCAGTATTTAGTACTGTGCTTCTCTAAACATTGCTGACTGTCTTCTGTGTACTTTGGACCAATATCAAGTTGTGACTAAATAAAAACAATACTAAGTTTTAGAAGTTCAAAGTTTAATGTATAAGCATCTGAGCACTGAATTTACTTAAGGAGGTTTTTAAAATATGCATTCTTGTCTGAACACTGTAGTACAAGAGTATAGCGTGGTCAAATCATGGCTGAGGTGGAAAAATTCTTTGAGCCCACAGTCTAAGCCCATCCTGAGGAACATAGCAAGACACTATCTGGAAAAAAAAAAAGATCCCAATTCTTATTCTTTACTAAAATTGAAATGGGAGATAATACCAGTATGTTAAATGTTTTCCCCATATGGTTCGGTCATACATCTGTGATTGACTACCTTTGGGAATGAAGGAGGCACAACATTTGGTAATATAGTGACACAACATAGTACAGTTATAGATTGGAGAGTGCCTGGGTTTGTGTTTGTGTAGGTTACTCGGTTGGCTGAGAAGGTAATATTTAGCTTACAGGACAATGGGATTTAACTGAATGAAGTAGTGAAGTACAATGTATGAAAAAGGCATAGGGCCATGATACAAATAAAATTGTAACAGTTTTCAAACACATATGTCAAAAGTAGTGTCAAAATATATACATATGATATTCACTTAAATTAAAAAAAATGTTAACATTTGAAAAATAAGGTAAGCAGAAAAAACAAAACCAAACCCAAGCAAAACAACAACAATAACTATCCTTGAACTTCTTCATAATGAAAGTTCTTAGAACTCTAGGGTTTGATGTTCAAGTTTTACTCTTTCTAATGCATAAATACTACATCTGTTTCAAAAACATCCCATCTAAAACATCCTCTTTACATACATTTTTACTGATTTACACATACATATCTATCCAGGTTCTTCTATATGTAACAAAGTGTGATTAGCTGCATGTGTGTCTGTATGGGACAGGTATTGGTAATATGTATCTGTTCTTAAAACGACCAGAATAACCATATGATTTGTGTTATTCAATGTGTCTAAAGCTAATATTTTGTCGAAGCCTAATTAGTAACAATTTATTACCATATTTACTTAACAGATTATATGCCTGAGCTGCAGTTTGCTCTCCATCAAGATGTATGATAACACTGGAAAAGTAAAGAGGAATAACTCAACAAATGTATTTGAAACACAGGTAGCAGCACATTTTCCATTAAACTATTTGAAGGTTGTGCCTCTGGAAAAAATTAGGGCAAGGACTGATGTTCAGGGTGACTTTTTTGTCAGACAAAGCTAAATGTCAGAGGTAGATGACATACCAGTTTTTACATAATTTCTTTTGAACCAGCTATTGCATATATTTGGGAGCAGGCAGGGAATTGTCCAGATTTAATCCTGAGTTCCACATTGACTTCTCTTTTATTTTAATTATGCAATATGCACTTCTAACCCATCAATAAGATCATGAAATTGTTTGAACTAAAAAGTATTTTAACTACATTTCAAAGATGTATGTCTCATATTTCTGTAATAACATTTAGAAGTTATGCTTAAATTCATCTCTGTTCATAAATAAAATAATTTAAAATATTAAGATGATGAAACATTAATTTTCAGATATACAGAGTAACAATGTATTTCTAAACATACTACATACATAAAAGAAAGTGTGCATATTATATATAATATTTCCATTAAGGTGATTATTAATTCAGGAAATATTAAAATTGCTGACACCATGAAGTTGGTTTTCCCCAGTATTAGACATTATTTTTTTACTCATCCCATTACACTGAAAGCTTTTAAATCACCTTGGCTTATATCTACTTAAGACTGTCTCTGATGAATGGAGAAAAAGAAATTTCTGCAGCATTACATGCTGTGAGGGTTTAATTTTTATGTTTGTCAGACTGGAACTACCAAGTGCAAACTTCTCTCCTGTGTTTGTTTAAATAGCCGACACTGTTTTCCTGTGCACATGTGCTAGTTTTAAGTCTGTGTTACATCATTTCTAAAGTGGTCCTTTGAGCAGAACAGACCCACTGCCTCCATGTTAGACTACTGATACTTCACCGGACTTAAAATGTAAAGCCGGATCTGTGATTCTAGGAGAAAACAAAACAAACAACAGCAACAACATCAAAATTGCAAATACTTGGTTAGCACAGACAGTTGGAATGCTGCTGGTAAGTAAAAGATGCTCATAAATATGATTACTTGAGGAGGGAATGTGTCCTAGATTTTCAGTTTACTTATTTTCCTCTAGATTTTGGAACATGTTAGTAATGTATATATTTTCTTATATATACCAAGCATAACTGGTTTGAAGCATAACTTTTAGAATCCTTGTTTCCTTTCAAATCAGAAATTTTGCATTGTAGCAGACACTTTTTGTATGAATGCTTAATATTAATTTTTATTTTTTATTAGTTTCCTGGTTTTCTTTTAGAAAATTGTCTCTCTGCTAGTGGATGCAGTCTAGAAGATGGATTAAATCATAAAAGCTGAAGGGAATCACAAATCTTTGTACTCAGCTGTTATCAAATGAGCACTTACAAAATCTAGGCTTAACCAATCAGATTCGTCTTCTCTCATTATAAATCTTAAGTGAGGTGAACTAAGGTGGGAGATACAGATGAACCTTATTTGTGTTAGCAGTTTTGTGGTTCTGGCCTTGGTTCTTGTTGTGATTCTACTACTGAGTTTTCATAAGCCTTTCCATTTGATTATTCCCTCATTACTATTAATAAATTTATTGTTATAAATCATTAATAACTACAAGGGGTCTCTGTTGTTTGTAAACAAATAACTGATCCAGGATACACTGTAAATCTGTACATCGTTAAGTAATACTAACAACTTGAAGAAGGAAATTAATACCTTTTTGAAACTTCTAGTCTCCACCTTTATTCGAATCTGGAGACTATCGGTTACCATCTTCTTTGAATATTTTTTTTTAATTATGAAAAGTCCTTTTCCTCTGGTCCTTCAGAAACGAGTAATTCTAATAAAATATTCATAGATATGGACCTGATTTATTTTTGTAGAGTAAAAATGAAAGGGAAGGATTTTTTTTAGTTTGACAATATTGATGTCTACTTTCCTCTAATTTTAATGCAGAAACTGTCAGTATACATTAGAGACAACTCAGCAAATCTTTACAGAGAGGAGACATTGAAAAATATTCTCCTGATTATTTATTTCTCTCTTGATGCCAGGACAACACTACACATGATATACAATATGTCTGAACCTAAATGGAAAACGTGGCTAATTACCATTTTAGTCAAACACATATTTTTAAAGGCAAGTAAAGTCTGTTTCTAATTATCCAGGGAGAAAGACTTCCATTTGTGAATTACACATTTTGTACACTGTTTTCCTGTCTCCGCCTTCTCTCGATGTTTGTGTGTGGGTGTGGGCAATCGCCCGTTTTCAATTTTCTATTGCTCGTTTGCAACAACAAAAGCAGAGAATACACGAGAAGAATTTATAACCCACAGTTGTATTGTAAGGAGTGGATGAAAAGTAGTGTCTTCTATTTTAATCATGACCATTTCCCTAAATTTCCGTGATATGTCTGTTTACATGAATAAGCTAATAAGCTTGTGTGATATTGTTTAATGATTTTATTAATTTTATTGGAGTAATAGTCCAGTGAGGAGTGACCCTAGTAACAGGAATTGGTTCTGGTGACAGTGTATCCACCCACGACCTGTATATATGCTCCTTGGAAATTAGTCACTTCATGTTTTTAAAAATTTTTTTATCAGTCTGTATTTGTTGTACATAATCAGTGTATCTACTGTAAGAAATGGGTACATGTGTGTAACATATTTCACTTCTTTTTTCCATTCCTCCACCTACTTTTATTTTCCTGCATCAGACTAATTAAAGAATAAGACCTTATAAAGTTAATTATCACGTATACAAGTTGAAAACTAGACTAATAGGCCAAAGAATATATGAAACATATATGCATGGCAATTGTACAAAATCAAAGTACTTTTAAATACATTGTACTATATTACAATTTTTTTCCTCTTTTTTCCCCCATATCTGTCACATTTTGTACGAGGCTATGTGATGTTTTAACTTTGTCTGTCTGAGTTATTTTGCTTAACATTATGATCTCAAGGTGCATCCATTTTTCTCCAGTCTTATTCAGGATTTTCTTTTATGCCATCTGATTAAGTTCTCGAATTAAGTTATCTCTGAGAGATTTTTTTCCCCAAAAATGAGGAAAAGTAGTACCGGCACAAGTAATTGTCACCGTACGGGTCACAAGATCAGCTTCTTTAGCAGAAGAAAGTCAAATTCAGGAACTAATCTATTTTTCTGTGCAAAAAAGTCCAACAATAACAATTGTGTATAGTTTGTTGTGCTTCTCTGCAATAGCTGTACAGAGATCGGAGTCTCTTCCTGCAGTACAGTCTTCACATAAAATATCTTAAGAATGACTCACCTAGTTTTAAAGTTAGACCTACCTGGCCAAAACATGGTATTTAAGTCACAGCTATTGCATTTTAGCTTGAAATTGCAGGCTACTGCTCACTATTGCTTTTAAGTGGTTTATCAGATTGGATATAAGACTTTTATGCTGTGTCTATATGATAAGGCAACATTACAAAATAAATATAATTTATCCCTTAATTCTTTTTTTTAATTTGGGGAACAAAGGCTTTATTTTAGCCAGGCCTGGCAATGCAGCCTCTGGGAGCCAATATGGAAGACTGCGCACCTTACAGCTAAAGAATCCCTTAATTCTTAAAATATTTTAGATGCTTATGTGAAAATAAATGAAATTCAACAAATATTTTTCAAGTGCAGGGCATGAAAGAGGAGGGTATAAAATAAAATCATTAAGTAAATAGTTATGTTTAGCTGCAATAGTTTACTGACTGAACATAACACTTCCAAAATTCAACTTCTTTACCATGTATATTATATTTGAAATAAGTTTTAGACTTTACTATTCTTCTTTCTTCTGGCTTCATCTTCTTCTGCATGTCATCTTGAAACTATGAAACTTCGCTTTGCTCAGATTCTCACCCGCACTCTCATCTTTGTCCCTAGGTGTGGCTACAAACCTGCACTCTGAGGCCCAGATGTCAACTTGGACCGTCTGTCTGTTGGACCAGGGCACTGATCACCGTTATGGGAAATCACTTAACTATGTGACAAACAGAAAGAATGGGTTTATTGCTTTTTCCTGGTATACTTTTAAACTTTTGGCCGAAGTGTTCCTTTTCTGTCTTATTGTTCTCAGCTTCTACTATTGTTCTCAGATTCTCTTACCTCTTCCTAACACTTCTACCCTTGAAGAAATTCAAAAACGTGCTAGTGTAGGATTCTCCTAGTTTCTCTTCTTCTTCTTCTTCTTCTTCTTCTTCTTCTTCTTCTTCTTCTTCTTCTTCTTCGTCGTCGTCGTCGTCGTCGTCTTCTTCTTCTCCTCGTCCCCCTCCTTCTCCCCCCTCCCACCTCCCCCCATCTCCCCCCTTCCTCCCCCTCCTCCTCCTCATAGACGTCCTCCTCCTCCCCCTCCCCCTCCTCCTCCCCCTCCTCCTCCTCTTTCTCCTCCTCCTCTTTCATCTCCTTTTTCCTCTCCTCTTTCTTTCAGCACTGGGGATCACTCTTGGGCCTAACGTGTGCTGGACAACCATTATACCACCTAGCAATGCCTCAGATTTGTAGTTTCATAACCTCTCATCTGCATCCTGCATGTACTCATTCCAGTGTTTTCCCCTCTCTTTACAGAGGAAACTTTTTTTTAATTGAAAACAAATCCTCTGGCTTTGCAATGGTATTTATAGCCTCCATTCCTTAAGGATTTCAATCCACCTGGTAGCATTCCAGAGTTCAATATGTCTTCTACAATAACATTTTCAAAAACTGTCTATGCCACTCACCTAAAATTTTAATAAACTCAGAACATACTTTAATATACATATTGAACATGCAACACATTCTTATATGACACACACAGATATATTCCTCCAATCCTCACATTGCATCATTCAAAACATAGCAATACACTTCTTGAAAGAACATCCCTCAGGTGCAACCAATACCACTTATATCTAGCTCACGGTGAAAAACTGTACACCTGAATATATGTGCAACTACACTTGCCATAATTGCCAAAACTTCTAATTACAAAATTTGAAAGGTACTTTATGATTATTGTGTGTTCTGAATAGCATTTGACAGGAATTAAGAGTTTTGCTTTTTCTCTCTTTGAATTTTTTTTCTCTTTGCTTTGCCTTTTCTCTCTCTCTCTCTCTCTCTCTCTCTCTCTCTCTATTTCTTTTCTTTTCTTTTCTTTCATAAGGTCTTGGAAGTCATGTTAGATTATCTCAGCCCTCCTCATTCAAATTGTTCACTAAAATCTCTCAGTTCCAAAGCACCCATCAATGAATTGTTTTCTCATCATACGCACTGTCTTGGCTCTATTTATCATAGCTCTCAACTGTACTATTTCAATAATCTTAAAACTTATGATTCTGTCTTTTAATATCTCTATATTTAGTATTGATTGTGTAGAATGTTCAAAGTTTCTTTATTAACTTAATGACAGAAGATAAACTGTCTTGGGTATAAACATTGTTTTTATCTCACCTCCTTTCCTACATGCGACTTCTTTTCATGCCATACTTTAATGCATAGTTAAGGAACTACTTGTAGCTTTAAATATGAGTCCTCTTTGCCTATAATAACAACTTTTCTCTCTGATTCCAGAATCAGTATAAATATAATCTCTCAAAAAAATGTTCGGTATCTTTCATCAGTCCACCCACAACAAAAATGAAAACTTGTTGGATTCTTTTGTGCCCTTCTAACCCCTAGTTCTCATAATCTAATACCTAGGAAATTATGCAGTATCATATGTATATTTTAATTATTGACTAAATTAATAGTTTATGAGAATGAGAAATCTTTAAGGACAAGGAGTATATCTTTTCTGTATCTAGTATCTAGAACCTTACATAGTGCTTGCTGGATATAACTAAGACAATTAAAATTAATAAGTTAATTCTAAAGTCAAGCAAATTCAGTGAAATTATAGATTTATAAAAATGCTATTGAAATTTATGAGTAAGATTAATGTGTTTATGCTGCTCTGCTTTTCAACTGTCTTCTGGAAACAAATGATCCAAACTTCATTACTCTAATATTAGGTAACATA